CTTCAGCATTATGTACATGCTGGTGATTCTTGCTCTCCCTAGAACCCTGTTGTTTGTCACCTTGTTCTGTCAGGTGATGTCTAAGATATGCCACATGCGCTCGGAGGCAGCGCATGTGGCATTTCCTCACGGGCGCGGAGTGTCCAAGACTCGCTGCCATAGAGAAGAGTGCTCAGGACGCAGGCTCTGTTAACCTGGATCTTTGTATACTCAGCTTATTGTTGGCCCACACTCTCTTTGTCAGTCTGGACATGGTTGTAGATGCCTTACCGATTCGTTTGTTGAGCTTGTAACGTACGATTATGGTACGTTGTTGAGTAGATTAGATACACACTGTTTAGTGGGTTTTCATATTTATTTAGTAGTCTTGGATATAGCAGTGTCGTGGACGTTGAGACGGAGCTTGGAGCAGAGCAGAGAGCTGAGTGAGGCCGGAGTCGTGGAGCTCTATGTGGGAGAGCGTTGTAGCTCGATGCAGTTCTAGTCTACTGTCTGTTCTGTGTCGAAGCTGTAGCGTCTTGGGGTCGATTAGAACTGCATACGCCGAGTGCTACATTCTTGACTGGAAATTGTACAATTGACTATTCACTTTATGCTTGCTTATATTCGGTGACTACACCTCAGCTTCCTCCACTAGGGTAGGAGGATGGAAGAATTGTTACCTGTAATTAGGGAAGAGATTATGGCTTCTGCAATTAGTGCTAATTGCTCTGCTCTGGGGTGCCGTACTTGTCGCACTTGCTCTGATGTGGACGGGAGAGTGGGAAGTTATCAGCTGAGACCTGGGTGTCTAATATAAAGGCCTCATTACCTTTGCAAGCTATGATGTCTGGCTTACAGAAGGTCCCTCCATCCGGTATACGAACTTCGCGTTCCACATCGAAACCTCTTTGCCGCAGGCGGCCAGTTAGGACCTGGGTGATATCGTCATGACGTTTCACCCGAGCCCCGTGTGTCTTGTGGCATGCCTAGGGTATGTGGCCCAGGGTTCCTGGCTACCGACAAGCATCGCAGAGACCAGAAGCCTCGGGTCTACCCCTAGCTGCTCTAGACGGCGTGGCTACAGCGTTTGCCCTAATCTGAATGGCGTGAGCAAAATCTCCTCTGCTTAGCAAACGGGTACCGGACGCGACCCACTTGTGGCAAGATGGAACCTCACAAGAGGACGCGAGGCCGGCACCGTCGACAATGCTGTACAGTTTTGCTTTCCACTTCCTAGAGCGCTCAGTCATTCTGTTAGAAGGGGTTCCGGCGGCCGTGGTCGGGTCTACCCATCGACGCATTCGCGCTTGGAATGCGGGTAGGAGAGCCGCTGCCACTACCACTGGATCCTCCAACTCTACTAACCCCCCGAGCCGCTTGTTCTTTTGTAGGCGGATTGATGTGGCAAAGTCGAGTATTCCTAGTCCACCGTCCTTCACGTCGGCATGAATAAAGGCATTAGGAGTATCATGAGGCAGCCGCAGCCAGCCACCGGTGGCACAAATTTGTAACAAATTAGATGGCAAATTCCTTGGCATTCTCATTGACCACAAGCTTAATTTCCAGGGACACATTCTAAACATATCAAAAAAAGTTTCAAAAACTGTGGGCATTCTTTCTAAGATCAGATATTATGTACCACGCCCTGCCCTGGTGACTCTCTATTACTCCCTTATCTATCCATATCTCAACTATGGTATTTGTGCTTGGGGCTCTACTACCCAAAATCACTTACGTCCTCTAATTACTCAACACAAAGCTGCTATTAGGACAATATCCAATTCTGGCCCCAGACATCACTCGGTACCCCTACTTAAATCTCTGAATATGTTAGACATTAAGTCACTGCACATTCTCTCATGTGTATTATACATGTATAAAACGCTAAACTATAATGCCAATCCTGATCTCAAAAGCTTCATAGAAGGTTGTATCAGAACCCATGAATGCCGCAGCCATTGGTCAAGCCTTGCTAATTCCGTCTTAAACACGCGTCCGAGAACAAGCCGGTGGTTCATCTTGGGGATTAGGTGGTGTTTTAGTAGGTATAGCCTCTGTTGGGGTTTGAGTGGCGCCTTAGTGATGTTCGTCAGGCCGTCCTCAAACAGGGAACCATAGGATAAGCGTCTGCCTCCGGCCCCGATAAGTATTCCTAAGTACTTATACTCGTCCGCCACACTCATAGTACCGATTTCATCGTCCCCGACGTAGTATGCCTTCCTGGTGGGAACATGCCACGTCTTACGATGTGCATCGATCGCTATGCTTAGCGTACGGCATTTCACAGCATTTACTTTAAGACCAGAGCCACCCAGTGTGTGGCAAATACTTGTTATGAGTGTTTGTAGTCCGGCAGCCGTCTCTGCTGCCACAACCAGATCGTCAGCGAATGCCAGTGCTGATATCTTTTCGCCCCCCAGTCCAACCCCTCAATTACTAGCCCAAGTCCTTTAGCCCCGCGGCCCGGTAGTAATTGCCTCATCAATTATTAGGTTGAAGAGAAATGGAGACAGGGGGTCACCCTGTTTCACCCCCCACTAGTGATCAGGATGTCCTTCAACTTCTCCCCTTGGCTGGTTATTACGGTTGAGGACCGATCATAGCCCGACATTATGTATGTCCTTAAAGGCTTCGGAATGCCTTTACGTTTCATGGCCCGCTGGATGGCCGGATGGGAGACGCTATCAAAAGCCTTCTCCATATCCAGAAACGCTAGGTGCGTGTTGTGCTTGAGCGCACGAGCCTCAGCTAGGAGGGCATCCAGGATCACCAGGTTTTCAGGGCATCCGTCCACAGGGACGAAGGCCTTCTGCCGCCTGTCGATCCTGACTGCCTCGGAGAGTCTGCTGCTCAGAATCTTATGAAACAGCCTCACTATCGTAGATGACATGGTTATGGGGCGATAGTGGGAAGGAGAGTCTGGGTTAGGTTTCTTAGGTAACAGCACTGTCTTATTCTTGCGAAAAGGTTGTGGCAGGGATTCGTTTACCAACCACAGATTAAACAACTTTGCAAACACCCTGATTGGTATAGCTTTAAGTAGACGTATAGTGATACCGTCTGGGCCGGGAGCAGCATTGCTACTAACCTTGTGAGCAACAATAATTTCCTCTGATGTTATAGGATCCTATAGTTGCTGATTAACTGGATCACGGTCACGAATTGGGCGGTGGTCCGGTGATGTGGGTCTAGAGAAGAGTGTCACCCAGACTGTAAAGAGACGAGCTGGCTCCACGTCAGTGGCGGTTACTTTCAAGTCTCCAGAGAGGCACGCGCAGCAGCCTTGTAACGATCCTTCTCGTACAGGCTCTGACTCAGAAAGTTCTGTGCTCTTCGCTTCCTCTTTCGTCTGGTCGGAGGTTGGGTTGGATCGGCACGATTTATCGGTGGAGGTCTCTGTCCATGCGCAGGGCGATGGTGCGGAACGTGGTCACCAGATCTTTTGGCAGAAGTGACTACTTGAGCATGACGCTCAAGGATCCTATCCACGTTATGACCGTTACCACTGACCAGGTCAGCGATTACTTCATCAAGGAATTCTTCCCCTCATCCAGTTTCCTGGCCCCTGGGTACAATAGCTGCAAGGAATTCCACCATAGTTTCCTTCCAAGAAGATTCCTGGGGGGTCCTGTCAGGGGGGGGGGGGGGGGGGGCATGTCAGGTTCATCGTGATATTGCATGGTTCCTTAATGGGCTAGGCTGGTTGTACTCCCTGTCTGAGTTAGACAGTGAAGACTCCGAGCTCTTGCCATCCGCACAATTTCAGTATTCCACCACGAATTCTTTGTAATCGATCCTTCGCCTTTGATTCTTAATGGACTCCAGAGTTTGTAAAGGAAAGTGCTGTTGCAGACTCTGGTTAATACCTCCCCGGCTTCTCTGGGGTCTGCCTTCCAGCCTCACCTCTTCCATTGCCAGGAGGCGTTTCTCCTCATCGTCCACCTCACTTTGGGCCTACCCTCTCTACTCGCGGCCTCTTCGAGTTCCTGGTGGTATTGGGATCTGTGCATGCGGCTTAGATGGACTCGCCTTGCTCTATAGTCTCAAAAGGTTCTGCACAAATTGGACAGTCTGGCGACCGGTCCAATAGCCGGTCCAATAGTCATGTAGGTCACCCATCGTGCTGACAGGGGTCAGCATGTCTCCGTAATAGTTTCAAAAAAGTTTATAGGTGACAATGAACGAAAACCCTTGACAGGGACAGACGGCCTTCAGAAAAGCTCAAACCAAGTGTCACTGACAAATAGCCCCTAATGCAGGTGGACGGATGGTCCCCTTAGAGCAGCAGCAGGGGGGGGGGGCGCCTCAGCTGTTTGCGAAATCAGGAGTGCCGCGTGAAGGCCAGCTGAGGACTTTAGACAATTACCGCGAGCGATAACTGTGCACTGAAGAGCGTCAGAATGCAGATACCGTGGGAGAGAGTCATAGTTACTCCCGTTTAATTAAGAGTAAAACTAAATACTACCTAATAAACTCCATGTAACCTACATTACCCCCAAATTGTTAACCTATGTCTTGCTATTTTCAAACAATACTGGTTGTTGACCAAGTTGTATAACTGCTGGTTTCTGCTATGTTCCCCCCCATTTTTTCCTTTTTTTTCAACACAGTTTATACTCAATCTCAATTAGTATTAATCTTTAGTCTAAGTTACATCAAAAGGACTTGCCCGAACGTTATGCGTGCTAGTGGCTCTACAAGAATGTAAATTCAACTTAAATTCTATGTTCTCTGTTAACCCCCAATGTACCTTCTTGTATATAAATAAATAAACAAATAAATAAATAAATAAATAAATAAATAAATAAATAATTTTTTTCCCACACCTTGCCCGAAACGCTGTGCGTATTAGTGGCTTTAGGTATTGTATGTACTAACTCTATCTATAAATCCAACATTATGTTTGTAATTCATTATATATGCATGCACTTTTACCTGAATAAACATGTTGATTTTTTATTTTGTTTCTTCACCCATTATAGATGGTAGAAGGTATTTGCGTAGAATAGAAAATATCCATAAGAAAATTAACAATAGACACAATGCTCCTGTGTTTAGTGACATGTATATGTATATGTATATACATATATATTATTCAAATTATTAAAATATGTGAATGAAATGGACGCCAGTTATTGAACTCAATGTGTACGATTCACTCATTATTGTTGCAAGCTTCAGAAATGGATACAAGTATTTTTAACTGATATTATAAAGAGAGATAAATTAAATATAAACAACACAATTCTAGAAATTACAAAATATAAAACAAGGATAATTGTATAATAACATAGGAAACACTAGCCTCAAGATTACCGTCTCCATGACTGTTCCTGCATGTTGAGGGAGTCGGCTTGAAGGGAGCAAAACATGTCGGGCTGCAATCGATGTGTCAAATAACATTTATGAGTGCATGGTGGTGTGTAGGTCGGAGATATGGAGCTCTTACAAACTAACAAATACTATATATTTAACAGAGGTCAGGATTCGCTGTGGTGCAACCGGAAAACCGGCCACTTCCAAGCAAAAACATGTAAGTATGAAGGTTTTGTTTACATGCCATTGTACCCAGTTTAGCAGTCACACTGTGGGGTGTGGCTGGGGATGTGGTGTTATGTTTCAGTGTAGGGTGTGGCTGGGATGTGGTGTTATGCTTCAGTGTAGGGTGTGGCAGGAATGTGGTGTTATGCTTCAGTGTAGGGTGTGGCTGGGATGTGGTGTTATGCTTCAGTGTAGGGTGTGGCTGGGATGTGGTGTTATGCTTCAGTGTAGGGTGTGGCTGGGATGTGGTGTTATGCTTCAGTGTAGGGTGTGGCAGGGATGTGGTGTTATGCTTCAGTATAGGGTGTGGTTGGGATGTGGTGTTATGCTTCAGTATAGGGTGTGGCTGGGATGTGGTGTTATGCTTCAGTGTAGGGTGTGGCTGGGATGTGGTGTTATGCTTCAGTGTAGGGTGTGGCAGGGATGTGGTGTTATGCTTCAGTGTAGGGTGTGGCTGGGATGTGGTGTTATGTTTCAGTGTAGGGTGTGGCTGGGATGTGGTGTTATGTTTCAGTGTAGGGTGTGGCTGGGGATGTGGTGTTATGCTTCAGTGTAGGGTGTGGTTGGGATGTGGTGTTATGCTTCAGTGTAGGGTGTGGCTGGGATGTGGTGTTATGCTTCAGTGTAGGGTGTGGCAGAGATGTGGTGATATGCTTCAGTGTAGGGTGTGGCAGGGATGTGGTGTTAGGCTTCAGTGTAGGGTGTGGCAGGGATGTGGTGTTAGGCTTCAGTATAGGGTATAATTACCTAAGTGTAATTACCTAAGTGTAGTTACAGGATGAGAGCTACGCTCGTGGTGTCCCGTCTACTCAGCACTCTGTCATATAACACTTTGAAGCTACTGACGGTTTTGGCCTCCACCGCCACCTCACCTAACTTGTTCCAACCGTCTACCACTCTGTTTACATAAGAGAATTTTCTTATATTTTATATATTTCTTATATATACAGTCAATAAAATAAAATAGAGTCCAGGTGCAGTTAAAAGCTCTGTACCTCAAGGTACAGTCCTTACACCACTGCTGTTCCTTATTCTCATATCAGATATAGACAAAAATACAAGTCACAGCTTCATGTCAACCTTTGCAGATGATACAAAAATCAGCATGAAAATTACCTCTGCTGAAGACATTGATGTTATAAGAGTGATAAATTATAGGTACTCAGGTACGGCAAAAATGAGGAGCTGAAACATAATACTGTACTGGGTACAAAACACAGTCGAATCTGCCCATAGTAGGAAAGCAGCATGTCAAGGATTTGGGAATAATGATGTCCGACGACCTAACGTTTAGGGAGCATAACCAATCAAATATTGCGTCAGCCAGAAAAATGATCGGTTGGATTACGAGAACTTACAAATCCAAGGATCCCATCACAATGGTTGTACTCTTCAAATCACTTGTGTTGTCCCGTCTTGAGTACTGCTCAGTACTCACTTCCCACTTCAGAGCAGGAGAGATTGCTGAAATAGAGGGAATACAGAGAACATATATGGCACGCATAGATGAGATAAGTCAACTAATTTATGGGGATTGTCTCAAAGCTCTCCAAATGTACTTACTAGAAAGGAGATGAGAGAGATTCCAAATAATATACAGTACACGTGGAAAATATTGGAGGGTCAGGTCCCAAATCTACACAGTAAAATAACAACGTACTGGAGTGAACGATATGGAAGAAAATGCAGAATAGAACCAGTGAAGAGCAAGGGTGCCATAGGCACAATCAGAGAACACTGTATAAACATTAGAGGTCCACGGTTGTTCAACGTTCTACCAGCAACTATCAGAAATATTGCCGGAACAACCGTGGACATTTTCAAGAGAAAACTAGACTGTTTTCTTCAAGGAGTACCGGACCAACCGGGCTGTGGCGGGTATGTGGGCCTTTGGGCCCCTCCAAGCAATAGCCTGGTGGACCAAACTCACAAGTCAAGCCTGGCCTCGGGCCGGGCTTGGGGAGTAGAAGAACTCCCAGAACCCCATCAACCAGGTATCAACCAGTGTAGGGGTGTGGCAGGGATGTGGTGTTATGCTTCAGTGTAAAGTTAAGCAGGGATGTGGTGATATGCTTCAGTGTAAAGTTTGGAAGGGATATGGTGATGAGAGTGATGGGAAGCTGCCCTTTCTAAATGTAACAGTCATGGAAAGGAATGGTGGCTTCCACACTGCAGTCTACACTAAGGAAACAAACATAGGAATGTGCCTGTACACGTGGAAAATATTGGAGGGTCAGGTCCCAAATCTACACAGTAAAATAACAACGTACTGGAGTGAACGATATGGAAGAAAATGCAGAATAGAACCAGTGAAGAGCAAGGGTGCCATAGGCACAATCAGAGAACACTGTATAAACATTAGAGGTTCACGGTTGTTCAACGTTCTACCAGCAACTATCAGAAATATTGCCGGAACAACCGTGGACATTTTCAAGAGAAAACTAGACTGTTTTCTTCAAGGAGTACCGGACCAACCGGGCTGTGGCGGGTATGTGGGCCTTTGGGCCCCTCCAAGCAATAGCCTGGTGGACCAAACTCACAAGTCAAGCCTGGCCTCGGGCCGGGCTTGGGGAGTAGAAGAACTCCCAGAACCCCATCAACCAGGTATCAACCAGTGTAGGGGTGTGGCAGGGATGTGGTGTTATGCTTCAGTGTAAAGTTAAGCAGGGATGTGGTGATATGCTTCAGTGTAAAGTTTGGAAGGGATATGGTGATGAGAGTGATGGGAAGCTGCCCTTTCTAAATGTAACAGTCATGGAAAGGAATGGTGGCTTCCACACTGCAGTCTACACTAAGGAAACAAACATAGGAATGTGCCTTAATGCCAATAGTGACTGCCCAGACAGGTACAAGAGGAGTGTTGTCAATGCTTATGTCGACCGGGCTCTCACTCACAGCTCTGGTTGGAAGCAGGTCGATGAATAACTGTAGGGTAAGGCAGGTCCTAGTCAATAATGGCTTCTTTAACGGTTATGTTGAAGACATCATAAAAAGAAAGGTGAAATGCCTTGCAACCTCTGAAGAGCCAACTAACACAACACTTGTACCCCTATTAGACTGTTTTACAGGAACTTCTTTTTGACGGCTCATAAAACAGAGGAAAGTGTCCTGAAAGATAATATTAATAGGAACATTATCCCCACAGACAAAAATCAGAAGATTCAATTGACAATTTACTACAAAAACAAGAAAATGGCCAACCTACTCATGAAGAACTCTCCAGACACCAAACAGAATGCCTTGAAAGAAACCAGCGTTGTCTATGCCTTCACATGCCCACTTGGGGACTGTCAACCCCCAAAGATCTCAGTTTACAGGCAAGACAACAACGTCTCTTTCTAGGCGATTAACAATGCACAAACAACAGGGCTCCATATAATCTCCTCACACAACTAGACCATCACCAGAGAAATCTTAACAAGCAACACAGAAATCATCCATAGATACAGCGATAGCGGGAGACTCGACATCAGCGAGGCCCTACACATCAAAAAGTCAACACCAGCAATCAACTGCCAATTAACACAACTATATTCTACCCACTTCAAGACCCCGAACCAACATAGAAGCAGCAATATAAAAGCAGCAAATATGCAATACAGTGGTACCTCGGAATGCGATTGTCCCTGTATGCGAGGTTTTCGGAAGGCGAGCAGTATTTACTCCAAAAATTTGTCTCAGAAGGCGAGGGTTACTTCGGGACGCGAGTTTATTGATACGCGTACAGGCCGACCTAGCGCGTGGTGGTTCGGCGATCGTCGCCCCTCCGCCCCGCCGCCCCTCAGTTTACCATTGTCTCGCGCTCAGTGACTACCCCCACATCAATTCTTCTCGCGGATTTTCAGTGTTTTGTTGGATTTTTGGTGATTTGTCTATACAATTTGTTATTATATATCTCGCCATGGGTCCCAAGAAAGCCAGTGGTAAGGATAAAGGCCAGAAAGCTCATGTGAGGATGACAATAGAGGAGAAACAAGAGATCATTCGGAAGCATGAGAACGGTACACGTGTTGTTGAACTTTGTAGGCAGTACAACAAAGCCACATCAACAATATGCACTATACTTAAGAAGAAAAATAAGATTATGAGTGCTAATGTGGCAAAAGGAGTAAGAACATTAACGGCACAAAGACCACAAATACTTGAAGAAGTGGAAAAGTTGTTATTAATTTGGATACACGACAAGAAGTTGAGGGGTGATAGTGTTTCGGAGGCCATTATTTGTGAGAAAGCCAGGGTGTTGCACGAAGACCTTCTAAAGAATACCCCTGCAACGAGTGATGCAGATAAGAAAGAGTTTAAAGCAAGCAGGGGCTGGTTTGAAAAATTTAGAAAGAGAAGTGGTATCCATAGTGTTACAAGGCATGGGGTTATGTGATGTGATTATGGAAGGGGACTCCCCTTCCAAACAGTAACTCCTCTCCTCCTCCCCCCTCCTCACCATCTTCCATACGCCTACAGCACTCGACAGCAAGGTAAGTAATAACTGGAACACAGTTTTGTAGGTTTATTTAGATGAATTAGGTAAATTAGGTATAAAAATTTAGTTTGATGTGGGGTTTTTGGGGTAGTCAGGAACGGATTAATTCATTTCCCTTTATTTCTTATGGGGAAATTAACTTCGGAATGCGAGTTTTCGGAAGGCGAGGCGTCTCCAGGAACGGATTAAACTCTTATTCTGAGGTATGCCTGTATACTGATTGATTTGTGTTCTGTCTTTTGTCACCTCACATAAAAACATTTGTCATATCACCTCACCCAAAAACGAATATAAGCATGAAATGACGTGTGCAAAAATCTGTCTTTGAAAATGTGAGAAGTCCTTGCGAAATGTTTTTAGGCATCAGACCATAAATGAAAATGTGAAAATGAACTTTGGAGAGTTATTTTAAATGTGTGAAAATGAACTTTGGAGAGTTAATTTTTGAATTACCCCCAACAGTGAAGAAAAAATTTAGAAATATTAAGAAGATTCGTGTTAGAATCATTAAT